TGGTTGCTAGAATGCTTATGAACTGTGTAGCGAATAATCGCTTAGTTCACGTGTAAAATACAAGTCCAAGGAAGTGTTAAATTACCCTTTCATTGAACTCAAGAATATTCACAGATGGCCCCTCTCAGGCTTCCAGTAAGCCACCACTTGGGCTTTAGTTTGAGATAGAAAATAATAAACTAATGTTAACTAAAGGCAGCTGAAGCTGCACAGCAGTAACTAACAAAGTTGGCCCATATTAAATCTCACTGGCGAATACTAGCAGACGTGTAACAGTACGGCCGAAAAGTTGTAAATTAGACATAAAAGATTAGACGTAAAGCAATGATGTGACTAGAAAGCAGGATACTACTAAGAACTTCTGAGCCCTTCTACTGAAGTGACCGAAACTTCAACTTAAATACTGGTTCTACCTGATTTACATAAAACGCAAAGCTACAAACTTGCACATAATACTTTTACACATGTGCATAATACCTTTATGCATGTGTATAATACTTTTACGTATGCGCATAATACCTTTATACATGCGCATAATACGCTTACGCATGCACGTTTAATGTATAACGGACAGTATAAGCTAAGCTAAAATTACCTAATTATCTATTTCAGTTAATGTTGCAGATTGCATTGTTCCTTAATCTTCTAATTGGATCCGGCTTATTATTTTTTGCAGACTGTTAGAGCAATTTTATAAAAGTAAGCTTGAACTTTCGATTATGTCAAAAAGAATTTCCGATTCTGGAGCTGCCAAAGGATATCTAAAAGCGAAAGCACGTTTTGATGTCCATCAAACAAAAAGTGGAATTGCTGCAAAAAATGGACATATCCATTGATTCGCTAATCATTCCGAAATATGTTTATCAATTTCACGCTGCTGTGCAGGGGAGGGGAATGTTGCGGTGCGCAAAAAATTGGAAGTTGATCTGTCAGCAGCATCCGACTCTTCAGGGCAGATGTTTTTATTTTATTCGGCTTATAATTCCTTACTAAATGTAGTATTTCATCTCGATGTACTCTGTCTTTGGTATGATTTAAATCAAATTCCTCGTCATTATAAATATCATGAATACACATTAAATAGTTTTCTGGTTGCAATTTTCTAATTTCGACTATGCGTAATGTATGCTTTATACACGCGCGCGTTGAAAAAAATGTTTAATAAAGTAAAGAAATAAATATAAAGCTTTTTTTTTTTTTTTTTTTTTTTTTGTAAATTTTGATACCCTTTAGATCATAATTGCTCTTTACGTCATAAATTACGGTTTCATATTTTTAATTTTGTAATTTCTGCATGCCATCTTACCCGATTTAAACTGATGATCTATAATCCGGAATCGTCAAAGTCCCGATAAGTCCTGATGAAAGACTTTTGACTGTAGTATTTTCTATTTTTTTTTTCTAGAATAGTAATCATACCAAAAAACAAAAGATCTACCGTTTGGAGTCATTTCGCCAAGGCTGACCAAAATTATGCATGCTGCAATGGATGCAATAAAAAATTTCCATTTTAAATGGAGATACGTGAACAATGCATTGTCATCTAAGCAGCGTTCATAACATTTGGCGTTGACAAAACAGAGGCAGAAACGACAGCTAAAAAAACAAAAACTTTGGATAATTTCGTAATCAAAACATCAATTGAAGAGATTGTTGCAAAAATGGCTGCAGTAGATGGTTTATCAATTCGTCAAATCCCTCAGTCAGAGTTTATTCGGCAATCATTGACCTTAAGAGGTATGAAGCTTCCAGCCAATGAAAAATCTGTAATGGCTCTTGTTCATAACCATATGGAAACTGGGAAACAAAAAATCAAAAAGGATATTAAAAAAGATATTGCTGAATTGAAGAAAATCTCCATTACCATGGATGAATGGACCACCATCTGTAACCGGAGATTCCTGAATATAAATCTGCGTACTGTCTGCCAAAAAAGCATCGATCTTGGACTGATAAGAATTTTTGGAAGTTGCGATGCAAAACAAAATGCAAGATCTTGTAGAAGAGCACCTCGAATCTTTTGGTCTATCATTTAAGCACAATAATATTGTATCCACTACTGGGGATGGAGCAAGTGTTATGATCAAGTTAAAAAAAGAATCACCCGCTTTTTATCAAACATGTCGTGCACATGCCTTGCATTTGGCTGTTTTACGATGAAAAATCAGGGACAGAGGAAAGTATAGACGAAAGTTCAGGAGAGACTGATGACTTTGATGATGTTGATAATGGTTTGAGCATTAATGAAACTGAATTACAGAATGAATCGTTCAAGGAAAACATAAATATTCTGAGACAAATTGTAATTTTTTTCAAAAATTTTGTTGTGTGTTCAGATTTTTTCAGGTCTAAATGTAGAGAAAAATTACAGATAGAGCAACAACTCGCTCTGTCTTTCTGAATTGTAAAACCAGATGAAATTCAATGCTCAAAATGCGTGAAACTTTTGTAAAATTGTATGACGTTACAAAGGATGTACTCATTGAACTTGGATCTGGACGTCTTTTAACAAATTTAAACCTGGAATTAATAAAATCGATAGTCTTGGTGTTAAAACCAATTGAAGTGGCACATAACACTATGGGTGAAACACAAGCCGCTTTACGAACAGCATATATTTCTATCAACTTTATGCGAGAGAATTCAACTGAAAGAATCTGAAATAAGTAGTTCTCTTTCTGAAAATATCGATTTTTTACATCAATAGCAGGATCAACAAAAACATCATAGATTCGATGAATTCAATGAACAACTTAAATAAAACGCCATCAAAAGCTTCTATAGAACTAGCAGCTGCTTTGATGAAGCGTTTATTTCCATCACCAAATTCATCAAATGAAAAATCAAGCAGTGAAGCAGAAACAACTACCAAAGTTGGTGCTGCTCTTAAGTCAAGAATTTACTTTGTCAAAAAGTAATGGTGAATTGACTGTAAATTTAAAGCGGTTACTTGAAGCTATTCACATTATAAAACCAACATCCATTGATTTTGAGAGAGCATTTTCTGTGGCCAACAATTTTTACACTAAAATTTGGTCGAAGCTATCAGATAAATCACTACATGCACTGGTGTTTTTAAAATATGTTTTCATTAATATAAATCCATAAATAAATATATAAGTAAAGAAAAAGTTTCTTTTAAATTTCTAAAAAATATTATTTTAATTATAAGTCCATTATAAGTCTTTTGAAAATGTAAGTATGTCAACTTCAAATGCTCGAAAGCCCCCCCAAAGAAAACCGAGTTCGAGCTTAACTGAGCTTCAAATCCTTGAGCTTTACCAAACCCTAGCTGTAATTTCTGTTAACAGAAAAATAAAATTTTCGTTAGCTTTTGAGATCACACTGTTCTTTTACATTTCTTTTGAACAGCAGACTGTGGAATAATTCCTAATTGTCATCAAAACATTCAAAACCACTTACGGCAAAATTCAGTGTCTACCAGCAAAAGTCATTGCTTTATATTTAATGGATTACTGCTGAAATTGTACACTTATATCTTCAGCCTAGACGGAAAACTATGACATCTAAAGTACATCACAGTAAAAACCCAGCACTGGAAAATAGAAAGCGTTATCATCTAGCAGGGCAGTTCCAGATTAAGCTTTCTTGGTTACCTGATACAAATTAATTTTCATCTTTAATACCTTTCAAAGACATCTTTTCTGTGTGAAATATCACTTTACTTCTTTACCATGTTAATTAATCTAATCTTTAAAGATTCTGCTGTATAAGTGGAGCCCGAAGTACATTTTGTGATTATATCATTGGAAGAGATGTTTGGAACTTACTTATTTCATTGAAAATTAATGCTATTTCTTCACAACCTTTATATAACATCAAATGAATTGAAGGTTGTGATGATACAGTCAAGTCTTTAATCCGGACTCGTCGGGACGTTGGCAATTCCGGATTATAGATCATCAGTTTAAATCAGGTAAGATGGCATGCAAAAATTATAAAATTAAAAATATGAAACCATAATTTATAAAATAAATAACAATTATGATCTAAAGGTTATGAAAATTTACAAAAAAAAATGCTTAATATTTATTTGTTTACTTTATTAAATATTTCTTTCAAAGTGCACATGCGTACAGCATACATTTACGCATAGTCGCAATTAGAAAATTGCAACCAGAAAACTATTTAATGTGTATTCATGATATTTATAATGACGAGGAATTTGATTTAAATCATACCAAAGACGGAGTACATCGAGATGAAATACTACATTTAGTAATGAATTATTAGCTGAATAAGACAAAACATCTGCCATGAAGATAAGGATAGTGCTGACAGATCAACTTCCAGTTCATTGCGCGCCGCAACGTCCCCCCCCCAACAGAGCAGCGTGTAATTGATGAACAGATTTTGAAATGGTTAGAGAAACAACGGATATGCCTTTATCCATTTTTTGCAGCAATTCCACTTTTTGTTTGATGGACATCGAAACATGCTTTCGCTTTGTAGATCTTTTGGGAGCTACAGAATCAGAAATTCTTTTTGTCGTAACCGAAAGTTCACACTTATTTTCATAAAATGCTCCAACAGTCTACAAAAAATAGTAAGATTAGAAGATTAAGGAACAACGCAATATGCAACATTAACTGAAATAGATAATTAGATAATTTTAGCTTAGCTTATACTGTTTGTTATACATTAAATGCGCATGCGTAAACATATTATACACATGTGTACACGCATATGCACATGCGTAAAGGTATTACGTGCATGCGTCAACGCATATGCGTTGATGCATGCGCTGAAAGTTTGTAGCTTTGAGGTCCGGATTATAGATCATTCCGGATTAATGACTTTTGACTGGATATGGTTAATTTTATTGCAAAAGTAAGTAATTAAATGTTTAACTTCATTATAATGTAAAAATACATATATGCTTGTATTGTTACCCCTAAGTTAAAGACAAATGTTCTAAGCTCATGTAATTTAATCTCTTGTTATCATTTAACTTGTAATAATTCTGTTCTTTTTTGTAGGAAAGGGACAAGGCATTACAATAACTCCTTTACCTGGTGGTCATATGATTGGTGGAACTATCTGGAAAATTGTTAAAGATGGCGAAGAAGACATAATTTATGCTGTTGATTTTAATCACAAGAAAGAAAGACATTTAAATGGTTGCATTCTGGAAACTTTTAATAGACCTTCTTTGCTTATCACTGACTCTTATAATGCTAACTATGTGCAAGTGAGAAGAAGAGCACGAGATGAGCTCCTTATGAGTAAGTTGATGGGTATTTTTGCTTCTAAACACTATTATTATTTTAGCTATAGCTGCTATTGCTAGTAATAGATATCATTAAAGAGCTTTAAAAAATTCGAAGAAAGAACGAAAAAGATTGCAGTTTATAATTAATGATTCATGTTTGAGTAAATGCATTTATTCATAATAAGGAGAATTATGAAACAGTATTTAAAAATAATTATATAAATTTTATGAGCATGTACAATAAATATATGAGTATTTATGTATGAAAAATTGTCACTATAAAAATTATACCATTATATCCATAGTTAGAAGTAAATAGGTGGGAATAATGTGACAGTTTTTAGGAACATGTAATATTTTGTAATGAGATTACCACCATATTCATCCTTACTAATAAAGCACATCTAGATAACTAGATTTGCTTTTATTCTGTGGTTATACTGTTTAATAAAAAATAATTAACTTCAGTAATGCTGCAAGTTGTAAAACAAAATTTCATTGCATTTAGAAGAAATTAACATATCACATTCATTTACTTTGTTTTTAGAAAAAAAAAAAAAAAATGTTATGCAATGACTCTCTTAGTAAACAAAGAACAGGAGGCCTCTATGGGTCAATCTCACAAAATATAAAATTTCAGCTGAAGGAAAAGGAAATAGCAATATTTGTTTATAATTTAAACATCTTCTGTTTTATGAATTGTATTACATTAATAATACTCATCAGGCTTGCATAGTATTTTTTGAGGATTAACTGATTAAAATCTAAAAAATGCAACTGCAACTGTTGAATGTAATTGGTCCTTTGACATGATATAGTGAGATGAAATTATTCTCAACTATCACAAGTTAGCATTCTAGGTTATTATTGCAGCAATTAATGCAATGGATTTATTAATATATTGATAGTTGCTAACTCTCCCGTTTCTGCTGGAAGACTCTTTGCTTTTTTATCACGCCTCCCAGTTTTCCCCATAGATCACTGAATCTCCTAGTTTTTAATTTTTGGCTCTTCAGTAATGAATGAAATTTATTGAATCACTGGAACTTAAATTGTTCAAATTTTATTCTTCCATACCTATTGATTTTTCAGCATAACATTTCATTAAATGTGATTCAATCTTAATTATTTTAATCTACTGTAGACATCTGTAGAACTTTATATGAAGATTCAGCCTGTGTTTGTTAAAATATAAAAATCTGAAAGGTTTCAGATTTTAAATTATGCCCAAAGAGGCGTTTTTTAACGTTTTGTGTGTTACCTTTATTTATTAAATATGTTCTTTGCATTTAAACTATACAATTCAGTTTAACAGCAATGTTGCAAAATAATTTTAAAATGAGCATATCTTTAGAATTTTCAGTACTACGCGCTGGAGATAAAAAAGTCCCCCCCCTCCAGTATTAATGAGTTTGTTAAAGAAAAATTCATTAAGTTTTACAAAATATGAAATTGATAATAAAACAAATTCCAAATTTCAAATTTGGGCTTTTGAATGCCCATATTCACAATGGGATTACGTCATTCACAAAATCGGCCTTTTTCTGAAATGACATGGCAATTTTTTCCATATTTCAATTCTATGACTGAAATTATGCCTAAATATTAAATTTTGTAAAATTTGGTGCAAAATTTAAAAATTTATCTCATCCCATTTTTTTTCAGTTTGCGCTAAGAATAATTCACTCGGGGGAATTTTTTAATTTATAGCAACCTATTTTCCTTTCCTTTTTTTTTCTTTGCAGAAAAAAATCATCGTTCATACTTTCAAATAATTTTAACAAAGTGCATAAACCACGTTTGGCATTATTATCGCTTTTAATAAATATATGCCAAATTTCAAAACGCGCCACTATGTAAATTCATGTATATCCTAGGAAATTTTGAATTAAAAAACTCTCATTTTTTGCAGGTTTGCTTAGAAATACATCTACTTTAAGATGATGGTAAACATTTTATAGGTTATAATTAAAAAATTTTTGTGAAAAATTTATAAAAATTATTTTAAAATACAAATTTAAAAATAAATCGGGAAAAATGTGTGAATTGTATTTGGAGTGAACCTAAATTTCGAATTCTGGAAAAAGGAATCAAGTAAGTTTAATAAAAAAAAAAAAAAGAGAGAGAGATTAATAAATATATATCAAATTCAATTAACATTTAGGAGCTAAAATTTTGAGAGCTAATTGTTTAAAAACTACTCATGCGATTTTTTAAAAAACTTGACAGTTTGGCATAATTTGAATTGTAGAGTCGAAATATGGGAAAAAATTGGCATGTAATTTCAGAAAAAGTCAGATTTTGTTTAAAAATATCTATATTAGAACAATGCTATATATAAATCTAATACATATCCAAGTTGCTCTTGCAAGACTGGGAAAACGCAAGTTAAATTTTGTCGAAGGGAGCAGTAGAACGGGAGGTATAGAACTGTCCTATTCCCCCCCACCCCGCAGTATACATGAATTATGTTTTCAGCATGTTTAAAAGTATATTGGTAAATTAAAACTTCCCTTTCCTACTCAGTAAAAAAATTACAAAATGAAATTAGCTAAAGAACATAAAATTTAGAATTTGTTATTGAATATAAACTGTATTCGATCTTAATTATCTTAACCTACTGTAGACATCTGTAGAATTATTCAACTTATATTCCAAAACAAATTTAGAATTTGGTTATGGAATATAAGTTGTATTTTGTATCCAAAATATGTTATAAATAGTTGGATAACTTGAATCATGCATTATGAAGAGAATTTAAATCAATTTAGGTTTTGTTTGAAATGAGAAAACCTAATAATAAATTTAAACTAAATTTATAATTAATAACTTAATAATCTGAATATTGTATAACAGCCATTTCAACGGTTTGCATTAATGCCTTTTATTTGATGTCCACTGAAAGGATTTGTTTATTAATTAACAACATATGCAACTTTGAAGTTAAAAGATTACTAGATTAAGATGTTGGTAACCAGTATTACATGTTCATAATAATTGTACACTATTCTTTTCTGTTTATATCTCTGATTACAGACATTATGATATAATCTTTATAACAACAGTTTTCCACATATAATATATTAAGTGGAAAGTACATCACATCCAAGATGGCACCTTTAAGCTTCTTCCAGTATTACATTTGTTTATAGTAGCATATGATTAACTTGCATATTAACTGCTGACTTGATTATTTATTAACTGCTGACCATTAACATAACTTTGCGACAGAGCATTTTCATTAATTTTATTGGAGTTCTGAGATTCTCTGTTGTGCTGCACATTTACTTTTCTGTCAACCTTCATTTGCTATCTATTAGCCAAATACTGATTAGTTTTATACCTTTGTATATAGCATTGCTTAATGTATTTGGTAACTTGAAAAAAATGATGGGGAGAAATTCATTTGGAAAACTGTTTGGAGTTTAAATACTCAGAAAATAATAAGAAATAAGTCTGAAGAGTTCACAAGCATGAAACATGTAATGTCTGGATCCCCCCTCTTTTTTTTTTTTTTTTGGTGTGTGTGTGGGGGGATGTGTGGGTGTTAAAAAACATTATTTTGCTATATATTTTTTATTATATGAATTAGTTCATATGTAATTAAAAACATTTTCTGTCTTGATTTTTTAATGAGAAAAATTCTTTTATTTCAAATTTTTGTAGAGATTGATCTATTGGGCTATACATTATTTCTTTCTGATTAGCTTTTACAGGCTACCTGTATGCCAAACACTGCAAATCATTCGACACATAATGCACATTCATCTAAATTGATTTAATAACTCCTTAACCCTCTGAGCATTATGAGCGGCTTTATCCAGTCATCAGAAGTTTTGCTACTTGCATGTACAGTACAAAGTCTATAATCCGGCCGTCCATTATCTGGAATGATCTATAATCCAGACCTCAAAGGCCACAAACTTTTTTTTTGGTATGTTTTATGCATGCACATTTAATGTATAATGGATGGTATAAGCTAGGCTAAAATTTTCTTTACTGATTCTAAGGCATTTCAGTTAATGTTACAGATTGCGCTATTCCTTAATCTTCTAATTGGATCCGGCTTATTATTTTTTTTTTGCAGACTGTTAGAGCAATTTTATAAAAATTAAGCTTGAACTTTCGATTATGTCAAAAAGAGTTTCCAATTCTGGAGCTGCCAAAGGATCTACAAAGTGAAAGCATTTTCAATGTCCATCAAACAAAAAATGGATAAAGGCATATCTGTCTCAAAATTATGCGAGGAGTATGGCATTAGATGACACAAGAAAAAGGAATTTTTTGTGAAAGCATCTTAAACAACTTACACTGAAAGAAATGCTTCATAAAGTAAACAAATAAATATTAAGTTTTTTTTTTTTTTTTTTTTTTTTGTAAATTTTTTTTTTTGATACCCTTTAGATCATAATTGCTCTTTCTTTCATAAATTATGGTTTCATATTTTTAATTGTATAATTTCTGCAATGCCATTTTACCAGATTTAAATTGATGATCTATAATGTGGAAAAACCCCTAATCCGGAATCGCCGAAGTCCCAACGAGTCCGGATTATGGACTTTTTATTGTATTAGCTTATAATTTAAGATATTTTTGCTTTCTTACTTTCTTTAATAATGTAAATATCATCTTAATGAATGTACATTTATGAAAATACAGACTAAAATAAGTAATTTAGAAACTCAATTAATAAATGCTGTTTAAATACTGGTCTTCACGACGGATCTAAAATCCTGCGCCGCTCAAAGGGTTAAAGATCTTTCTTATCTTAGGGTTTTTTTTGTGTTTTATTTTAATCAATTAGAAATAAAAATGTAATAAATTAATAATATTTTTTCCATGGCCTGAAAGGCTAGTTGATAATGCAGCTAGTTGGAGCTCAACTGCAGTATGTTATAATGATGAAGCAATATAAACATTTGTAGACACAATGTAAATACAATCTAGTGTCTCTTGAAAATCATCTCAGTGAAGCTATTCGTGTTCTAAGGCAGAAGGCTTTTGACTACTTTATACAAGTGAAGTAGCCTTATGGGATAGTGTTTGTTTCTTTTTGAAGGCTCTGTTGTACACTGAATTTTATTATCCAATAATTTAAAAATTTAAGTTTAAATATTTAGGAGTTATAAAATTTTTGCAGATCTGTCCTTATATACTTCCAGATTTCAGCATTTACTTTATAAATGTTAGTTGTGCAAAAAATCTTTCCTAGTTTAAGCAAATTTCTCTACTGCACTTCATTTTTTTATTTTTTCTCTCTCTTTTTCTGATTCTCTTTTATTAGTTTATGCCAATTAAATTGCTTTTAAGTATATAACACCATACAGTGATTAAATTTAGTTTGTACTTTTTGATTGTCTGTCCAACCCTCCTGAAAAGTTGCAGTTGTTAGTAATTAAAAGGTGAAAGACAACAGGTATTTTTAAAAATGGTGCCCCACTAAGATTTACATAAAACAGCAACAAATAAACAACATTAAAGACACAAGAAACATCTATAATAAAACACTTGCCTTCTTTTCTGCTCTTCTCCACATGTACACAGCGATCTTTTTAAGCTTAAAAAAACATCAGAGATTTGCAGAAACTTGACAAAGCATGTAGTGGAATTGTGCACACTGTGTCCATGTAATCTGTTTTCCTTAAAAAAATTTAAAAATAAAAAATGCACCAATTGTGGCATAAGTGCACAAATTTGCTTGTTTATGAAGTACACAAATTTTTGCATTCCCTACTGTCAAACAAAACAGCAAATTTCTGAAGAAATGCAGCTCTTTTTCATCAGCCGGCAAATTCCATAATCTCGTTATGATTCCTTACAAGAAAAAAAAGCACAGACTTATCAAAACACTAATCAGAGAGAGGACTTACCAAAAAAATGACATTTGAATTCGAAAAGCTGAAATCCACACTTGTGTACTATGCGTATGTGCATATCTGGATTGCTACTTAAATACTTTTTTGTAATGTTATGGGTTGCCCGTCTTGGCAACATAGTGTATTACCTGATGAATTCTTTTCAGGGTTGGGTGGATAACTTTAAAGTTTATAATTCTGTTTCAGAAATTAAATTTAAAAAATCACATTTTACATTTTTGGTCAATATTATATTTCAAATTCAGGGCTAACTTTTTTCGCCCCCCGAATTAAGAACTAGCATTTTATTTCAACACTATCTTCAGAATACTTTTGCTAATGTGTTATGCTTCTTATACATTTTTATCATTTATTGGAAAAATTTAAAAAGCAAAAAAAAGTAGGTATTCTCTGTATTGTTTCTTGTTTAATGTATGTGGTCAGTTATCTTTTTTGTTGTAAAATATCTATCATTGCAATCAAATATCTGAATTTTATAATTCTTTTACACTACTATGTAACTAATATGAGTGGAGTAATGGAAGCAATAGTGGCTGGTATTATGCAAAAATTTGTAAAGTATGCTTTTCACACACACACATACACACACACACACAAAAAAAAATATTTGGATGGATCATCAGAGAGTTACAAATATTTGTTTTTGCACTGTGTGCAAACAAATGAGGAAACCATTATTATCCTACAACAGTTAGCAGTTTTCATTCAGAAAAGTAGTTGAAAAAGTATAGCAGGTCGATAACATTGTAGTACTTTGTGTGATGTGAATATCAACAGCTACCTGACATAGCATAGGCACACACAGTTTACTGATAGTATCAGAATGAATAGATTGTTAGATATGATACTGCTGGGTAGCCATTGAATCAATTTCTGCTATGGGGGTTAGGGGCCCTTTCATATTCCATATAAGCTTGGGTACGCCTCATAGAACTGAGTTTTATTTTCATAATTGTTTTTTCATTTTTGATACATTCTAATAGTTTAGAATCAGTATTTAAAAGATTAAGTAATATAGACTATATAATCAAAAGTATACTGGAATATTAGAATTCCAGATTTTCAAGATTTGGGCTTAGTTTTTCATGTTCTTTTGTGAAAGGAATTACCAGCACTGAGTTTTTCCTTTTGGAATGGTTGCTGTCACTATACCAAATGGTGAACTTTATAAATTCTTTCTTGTTTTCAGGAGGCCAGCATGTCAGTCAGTGTATGGGTACTTTAGATCTCATAGTGTATATCTGACATGAAAGAATAAAGTATATCTAGAATCAGTCTTTAACCCTTTCGGTCTTACTGGACACATATGTCCCAGAGATTAGATTTCATTCCCTATTGGGTAAATGAAACCAACTCTTAAATGGGTTTTTACGTTTGCAGTGTTTTTAAGGAACTAGGGAACAAATAAATATATGACTAAAGAAACCTGGCCTATTTGCCAAATGTTTCAGGTTGCACTTTGTAAAGACTGCTTTACCATATCATACTTAACTTGTACTGTAAGAATAAAATAATTCTGTACATTTCATTTAACTTTATTATGTATTCATATGCAGTGTAGGGTTATTATTATAATATACTAGATGATTGGGACAAATAGTCACAGTTGACAGTATTATTGGGGCATATTGTCCCAGGAGATTTTCAGAAAAACAAGAAAAGTTTAAAACTTTAAACTCATATTGCACTTCTTTTATTATGTCAAAATTAAATTAAACTACTTTTCATAGTTAAATTTTAATCATGCAAAAGTAGGGTTAAAAGGGTTAAAGAAATTAAGCCTATAGCTGCTTTTTCCCAGCACCTTACATATAAATGCCATATAATTGTATTCTTTTTTTAACAAGAGAACTTCATATAAAAATTAATTTTAATATTTTAAAAAATATAAAATTTCAGCTAATATTTTGAAGACGCTACGGTCAAATGGCAATGTTCTGATAGCAGTTGATACATCTGGAAGGGTTCTAGAGCTGTCTCATATGATGGTATGTTATGTTCCTATATCCTATTTAGTATTTCATCATGTTTTTTTGTCTATGTTTGTATGCTTTTTCTGAAATGTTTTATTTTAGGATCAGCTGTGGAGGAGTAAAGATTCAGGGCTGATGGCTTATTCACTTGCTCTTTTGAATAATGTCAGCTATAATGTTGTAGAATTTGCAAAATCTCAGGTAATGAATATATATTAATTAAATCTTGGTGAAATTTTTTTATGTATTTGTTTATGAAAATTATATTTGAAAATTTAATGTGGGGTACACGATATAATGTTCCTATGAGGCTAAAAGCTATGTTTTGCTGCATATTTTCATATATGACCATCAGCTAGACCTAAAATTAAAATCATTAGCTATTATTGATTTTTTTTTTTTTTTTTTTTTTTTTTTAAGAAAAGAACGGAGCATAGATTGGAGTTATCAGATGGTTTTATGTGCAGTATAAATATATGAGCCAAAGGTTAAACCTCTGTCAGTATAGTAGACAAGTTTAGCTTTCTTGAGCTGTGCGTGGGATTACCACTACTTAATAACGGTAGTAAAAATAGAATTTCACATGGAAAATGTGATTGCAGCATATTTCTTTAAATGTTGTGAATATTATGCAGAAAAATACATAAAAATTACATTACTTGTTTAGGAAGCAGTTAAGTTTGAACTCAAATTTACACATCCATAGTAAGAAATTTGCACAAGTCTGGAGACTAAGTTTGATACTGTTCTGCCTCACCTGGTGTAAAATTTATATGCAAGTCCACCACATTTTTTTTTTTTTTTAAAATTGAAGTGAAAGAGTATGTGCATAGACAGCACTTTTCTTCTCTGAAAGAAATTTCTTCATCAGGTTGTTTAAACTATTGAGGAATGAATAAAATAATACTCTTTGAGAGATATTGGATTATGGATGTAGCTGGTTATCCACATAGACTCTATGGAAAAACTGTCTTAACTCTGAAATAAAATAAATCTGAGAGAGAGAAAAAAAAAAAAAAAAAAAAACACTAGAGTGCATTAGTTTGAAATAACTTGTGTATTGTCTTTTATGGCTATCATTGGTCAAGTGGTTAGGACTGCTGAATGCTGGTAGTTTTACCTGGATTCTAACCCAGGTGAACTGGCTGGTTGCACGGTATAGCCATTATGTGCTTTGCCGCATTCGAATAACCGGTACCATAATCGTTTCATGCTGCCCCGATTTTGATTACGTGCTCTAGTAATTTACAGAAAGTGAATTATTTACCATTTTATTTTTCACATAATTTATATGCAGGGGACAGTTAAGAACTGGTTAAATTATTACACACATAACGTAACTGAAAAATTAAATTACTGATTAATAAAGAAGTATGTTTTTGCATGATTTCTACATTAAAATGCAGTATATGTTTTACAAATAAAACTACTATTTATTGCAAGGAATCCACAAAAGTCTCGGGAGTTGCAGTTGAAGAGAGCCAGAGCACCCCAGCTGTCATGCTTGTAATAATGAAATAATAATGATTAAGCACATATAATTATTAACAATTTATTGCTAATTGTAAATTAATTCATAATTACAAACTAGATATGTATCATAATGAGAAAAGAATTTCAACATTTTTCACTATATGCAAAAAACTTTTTTCCTCACCCAGTAGCTTATGACCCATATTTCAGTAATAATTTCTTTAAATGATTACCAGTAGCTAAGATTGGTTTATAGAATATGTTACTTGTGGATGTACATCACTTAAATGTGTTTTCAGAATTCAGATTAAATTTGCTGCAAATATAGATGTTTAAACAAACTATCAGATGAAAGCTATTACCTGATTTGGCACTTGGAAATGTTAATTATCAAATTGGAGGCAGGGGCGCAGAGGAGTGTTGATCTGCTGATAGCCAAAAACATTCAGTAGTGCTCTTGTTTTTTTCTTTCATCTCTTTCTCTCTCCCCCCTTTTTTTTAAGGATTCGGGGAAAGACATATTAAACTGAACCTGTATTTATCAGGATAGAATAAAGAGAAGTCTTAATGCTCCCAGTTTCTAATTCTACAGAAGTATACTGCTGTGGTAACTCCCATTTTGTGATCAATAAAAATGCTTGCACACTTTAAACTGTAGGAAAACGTATTTGACGGCATATAAGACGCACTTTTTTCCTAAATTTGGTCTCAAAAAAGTTACCTGCGTCTTATACATGAAGGACACAGGTTAACTTCAATACTGAATGCTATTTTAGCCCAGATAAAGGTCTAGACACACATAACTTTTTCTACATCTGCCATAATTATTTTGCGCATGCGTGAAATATCTGTCGCCGAAAAGCGCGAAAGCTCGAAGCTGATGTCGAAGTTCGAGCAGGTTCGACGGTCACATTACGTCTATGGAGCCTTTCCTTCTTTACGTAGACTTTCTTTGACTCAGCCGACACACGTGTTGGTATCAGTGCTACTCCGTATAAACGTGTCAGTATCGATGCTTAAAACTATTTGTTTAAAAAAAACACCCTGGAAAATATGACTACAGGAAACAAGGTATTAAGCTATACAATTCAATATAAACTAGGAGTGTTAAACTACACCAGAGTGCATGGAAAGAGAGCAGCAGCAAGGCATTTCGGTGTACCACCTACCGAAAAAATGATACGTACTTGGCGACTGCAGGAAGATTAACTGAAGACTGCTAAAAAACAAAAACATAACCTTCGATGCCCAGTTCCATCTTGGCCTGAACTTGAAAATGCCTTAAAAACATGGGTGATAGGAAATCTGGGATAAGTGTTTCAACCAAAATAATAATCAATGAGGCCAAAGGATTTGCAGAAAAACATGGAAATTAGAACTTTTCAGGATCTGAGGGCTTGTGTTACAGGTTCATGAAAAGGCAAGGCTTATCAATACGCACAAAAACAACTATTGCACAGAAAATGCCAACATATTATGAAGAAAAAATACTACCATTTCATAGGTTTGTTATAAATGCACGCAAGAAAACTTTTTTTGAGCTCGGTCAAATAGGTTAAGTTCGTTAAGAAGTGCAGAATCAGTAATGCTCTTGGCGGAACAGAAGACGACGCATTATTCGAAGAAGGTGATAATAGCGATGATGGAAATGGTAGTGATGACATATTCTCGTTTTCGATCATGATGATAGTGAAAAGGATTTTTATGGTTTTGAAAGTGATTAAAATCTAATTTCATGATAGGCAACGTTTTCCTTGAATCTGTGTTTTTTGTTGTTTCTGCTTTATTTTGTATTATGTTTGATTGCTTGCTGTTCATTCATTTATTCATTATTGAAATTTACATATCATGTTCAAAATAGCTTGCCGTTTCTTAATTTTCCTTAATAAAAATATGTTTGGTAATTGCATTCAATGATTGTTTATTTGGCTTTTATGAAACGCGAGAACTAAAAGAAACCACATTTTAAGTTATTGTGGTATCTCGCTCTCACGCGGACTATTGAAACTTTTTTCCCCTTGTGTGTGGCTTTCTAAATAAGGGTGCATCTTATATGCCAGTGCGTCTTATATGCCGTCAAATACAGTAATTTATAATTTGTGATCAACATATGTTGGTTACCTAGTGTTTGGTTTAAATTTAAGTGACAGTACCTAGTATTTCTATTATTTAATATTAAATTTTAATTTATTAAACAGTTTTACAAATTAAACCTGACCAAAATCATTTTTGTAGGCAAAAAGAAAAAAATCAGCACTGAATACTTATAATACATTCACAGAAGCTCTTAAACAACTAATTATAAGAATTTTTAGTAATGAGTTGCTAATGACAGAAGCTATGTTATTGATATTTCTGTACTTAAAGCATATAAATTTGGGTCTTTTAAGTACATAGAAGCTTGGTTTTGTTTTTTATTTGCCTTCCTAAAACTTGCCCATTTTTTAAAAAAAACTTTTTATTTTAGGTTGAATGGATGAGTGAAAAGATCATGAAAAATTTTGAAGGCCAAAGGAGCAATCCATTTCAGTTTAAGCATGTTCAGTTGTGTCACAGCTTAGGGGAGCTGAGTAAAATTCCTGAACCCAAGGTAATATTTAAGTATATATTAACAGATAGGACTACGAGGTATACACTTTCATTGTCCAGACAATTTGTGTACCAAATTTTTGTAACTCTGGACCTGTCTGTCTTTGCACTATGTGACTTACACATATACGAATATATAAACTCTCTCTTTTTTTATTGTAGATGGTCATTGGTTTGATCTATCTATTATAGTTGCTAATGCCTTCTAAGAAATATTGTCAGTGGATATATCAGCAACAATGGCCCAGCCATTGTTGCTGATATAATGTGAGAGAATTATGGATTTGATGCGATTTCACCAAAAAAACAAAATTAAAAAAAAAAAAAAAAAAAAAAAAAAAAAAAAAAAAAAAAAAAAACCTCATTCGAATTTTGAAAAAATTGCTTCGAGGGGCAATGCCTCTTGTCTAGATGCATCTATGTACCAAAGCCCTGGAGCTATTAGCTTATGTGCAGCATGAACGAAAGACACACACACACAGATTCTTCCTTTTATTATATATAGATTATATAATAATCCAACAATCTCAGAACAAGCTAAGAAAAACAGCAGGTACTTATTTAAAATAATATTTTTTATTTTACCACTTTTCATGACAAGATTCTTTTTAAAAGGTACAGCAAGTATTGAGACCTTTTTTTTTATTTATTATTATTATTTTTTAAATCGAGATCAAGGGTATCACTCTATTCTGTAATTCTGAATCTTTTGAAATATACTGGTCATCAAAATTAAAGGATAATGAGAAAAAATATACTCACTAAGTAAATGTTGCAACCAAAGCCCAATGCTAAAATTATTTATGTTAATTTAATACAATTGAACACAAAATGAACTCCTGCGCATATGTTAACACAGGAAGTATGCAAATTTGGTGATTGATGATGTGGTGCGCAACAGACACATGTTGGAATTCCGGTCTGTAGAAAAGTAGATTTAAAGTGAATGTGGTTTCAGAGAGTGATTAGTGTTCAGCAGTTATGGTTCAAAGGATTCATTTAAGTGAAGTTCGGAAGTGGCTAATAATTAGTTAAATCGAGGGCGGGCAAACATAAATGGAGGCCGCCTACAATTTGAATATCCCTCGAAGTGTCATGTCCAAGGTGTGGAGTTGCTTTCTAAACACTGGACCAGTTGATAGACAGCTTGGTTAAGGATGACCAAAGTAACAACTGTATCAGAGGACCATTTTTTGTCGTTGTCAGCCCAAAGACGTACCGTCTTTTTCCGAAAATAAGACACTGTCTTATTTTTTTTTTTTTTTTTTTTTTTTTTTTTGGTCCAAAATTCGCGCTAGGGCTTATTTTCGGGGAAGGGCAAAAATAAAAGTATATTTATATATTTTTATTTAATATTTATTTTACACAGAATACAGAAATTTAAATTTATTCAATTACAGTCATGTCATCTTCTTCTGGAACATCGTCATAAATAAAATTCTGAATTATATTCTGATTTTCTTCTAAATCCATTTCCTGTTGAATCATTGGTTCGAATCTCTCATGTCTTGCGATATAGCTATTGTTAAATGAATACTTCTTGTTTAAGTAGCCTGTTCGTAGTGCATTGGAGACATCACTATCAGTTATTTTGTCCCATGAATTTTTTACCCTTTTGATTTTCGACTCATTCTGTGGGGGTTGAAAAAAGGTCGCTGCGTTGTATATGTCTCGGGGGTTACGGTTCAGCCCAAATTTCACCCCGACGAGAGTCTGCCCACGCTAACAGATGACGATGCCTTTCCTGTGAACGTATCTCTCTCGGGGCAATGGTGTACTGGTTAAGATAAATTCCAAGAATTAATTTGAAACGAACTGTAGAGGTAAACAATTAATTTCTCGGAATATTTTGTTTCAAACATTTCTCTGAAATACGAGTATTAGGAAAGCTAAACATATTATTACTTATACTTAATAAATCAACAGCATTTTTTAACGAATTCTTTTTGTCACTTTATTTTAACTAGGGATGATTTTCGGGAGATGTCTTATTTTACAAAAAGTTCTAAAAATCACGATAGGACTTATTTTCGGAGGATGTCTTATTTTACAAAAAGTTCCGAAAATCACAATAGGGCTTGTTTTCGGAGGATGTCTGATTTTCAGAAAAAGACGGTATGAAGCAGCTACAAGAGATTAGGTTTTGTCTTTCGGGCTAAGACAGGAACCTGAAATAGCCATTCAACTGCTGCATGAAGACTTAATGATGTTGGACTGTATGCAACAAAAACCAATGGTTTGGGTCCTGCTTAAGCTTCCAGAGGGAGCCATTTAAACTGGTGCTGTTGTCATCTTTAGTGGAGCTAAGACATCTGGACCCAAGTATTGTTTACTGATTAGTCTAGATATAAGGCCTCATTCAATTGAAACAGCGATCGTTGTATCCAGCATTAGCGATCACTTTTGAAAACGAATGATTTTTCGTATTCATTTGAAACAGTTCCCTACCAGTCGAACTCGTAGGGGTTGCCAGAGGTTACTTGATGCGCGATGCTGTTTGTCACGTGGTCGGAAGTTGTGTTTGTTTCGAAATAACCAATGAAAGAGCTACCAGATGTGCAGGTTGACTCCTCGTAACCATTCTTTAAGGGTTGCAGTTCACGTTTGTGTGTGTGTCATCTTTGGCTTTTCAGCGCGCTATTGTTTCAAAGTTTTATCTATGAAAATTCTTCACAAAGGTATTATTTTATTTTAATTCTTTTATGAAAACAGCTAACCTAAAAGACACACATTCCATTCACATAAATCATATACAATGTGAAAACTATAGGTCAAGTAATTTTTTCATACTGAAAAAAAGTGATTCAAAAGAGACCTTTTAAAAAGCAAAAGAAAAGAAAAAATGTACCTAGTTCTATTAACAAACTCAAAAAATACAATGTAATATATTCTAAAAGGAAAATTATATAATACACAATGATGTAGATTACATATTTTCATAAATACATAAAACTCTATAATAACTCTAATGTTCATAACTATATAAAACGCCAACACATAATCACATGGTACATAACACTGCTATGAAAGGAAGAATTTTAATTAGAAACATACCTTTTATATTTATTTGATACCTATAGACGAATAAAATATAAAGATGACAAGAAGTTATGAAAACACGTTATGCCAACTAAGAAACAGTAAGGAAGCCTTTTAAGTTATTGCAATATCATAAGGCACTGATTAGGAAGTAAATATCATTTTTTCATTCTTTTAACATCAGTAATACTTTTTTCATTAAAAACTTTAGCAGTGAAAGCCAAAACAGATTTATCATTGGCACCTCTGATGCAAGGTCACACAAAAATAAACTTGATTTAGGCAAATTTTCTAAAACATTAAAATCAAAAATAGTAAATTACAGTAACATATTATTAAATTATTTAATTACACATAAAAATTGTCTGAATTAAATTAAGAATCACTGACTAAGCTTGTACAGCATTTTTAAAAATATTTTATGTTGATACATTGGAAATAAATTGACAGCAATCGCAGTTTAAATGAAAGAGCTGGAAATACAGTCTACATGATGTTAAATACAGTCAAAATTATTTGTTAAATACCTAAATTGATGCTTACCTTCTTCAAAATGAAGAATATAATACGATAATTAATGTTTACTTTAAGGGAAACATTATATAATGCATAATTTCAATCATATTATCCAATGTTTAATTTTTTTTTTTTTTTTTTTTTTTTTTTTACATTGGAGCCGACTGACAGATTTTGGCGACAATAATAAGGTAAAAAAAATAACATACGATTTAAACCATGAATCCCCCGCATTAAAATTTAAATAAAAGTGCACTTCGTAGTTATAATCACGCACAAAATTGAAATCAAATGTATAATATAATTATTTAAACTTTGTTCTTTCGCGATAATAATAACAAAAGAAAATCACATCAGCCATCTACTTATCGCCGTCGGTATCTGTGTATTGACTATACACATTCTGATATTCATTTTGTACATATAAAAATCAGTTGTCATTAATTAGCAATACTTAAATGATAATACACATTTCGCTGAAACATGAACACTTATTTTTTTTAACAATTATGAAAACATACGAAGCTGAACTTACTTCAAAAGCGCACGGTCTTGCGATCGGAATCTATTCCAATGGACAAGAATTAATTACCTATTTTCTTCGTATTCTTCATTGTCGGGAAATAGAACATACTAAAGTTATTTCGAACGATATGAATTTTGATGCAGTGCATCCACGCATATTTCTCTGAATTAGGTAGCAATCCATCAACCAAAATGTAAACAACACAACGCTAAATCAATGTCCACTAGCAACAAGTGCACTATTTGGATGCAACCAGATGATGTGTCGGCTGCCCTTGCTAGGATCCTTATACACCCTATACTTTGATATAAGTTGATGCTCACTCAGCAGATCTAAAGCATTTTCTTTAGCGCACTTGATTTCTGTCCTCATGAAAGCACAAACAACCCAGCCGCCATATTGATTCGATCGTTTTTCGCAGAGGAATGATGGGTTCCAAGTGATCGCTATGAGAACGAGCGATCGCGAGCTGAGAGTGATCGTTGCGTTTCAATTGAATACCAAAACAGCAAAATCAATCGCAACTGATGACGTATGACGACTAACGATCACTAAATGTTTCAATTGAATGAGGCCTTTAGTCTGAACAGTGATTCTAGACACGTTTTGATCTAGAAAGAGGAAGGAACATGCAACTTGCCTTCCCATGTGCTTGAAATATTCCGTTTACGCAACCATGCTTTAATGGTTTGGATAGGAATTGTGGCAGATGGCTGCACCAAGCTGAATATCTTTCAAGGAGGTTCTATAACCACACTGAGATATGTGGACGAGGTACTGGAACCCCAAGGATAGACTGTTTAGGGGTGCTATTGTCCCAATGCTTTGGCTAATGGATGACAATGCTCTGCCTCATTGAGCATATGTGATGTCGGAATACTTGCAAACAGAAGATAGCCCTCAAATGGATTGGCCATCTCACCCTCTCAACTTGAACCTGATTGAGCATGTGTGGGATGCCTTAGGGTGCCGATTTTCGGCACATCAAATTCCTCGCTGGGCCAACCAGGAGCTAAAAAGTGACATTCCGTTATACAAGACTTAGTCAACCCTTTAGGAAAATCTATGAAATCAAGATGTGAGGTATGTAAATACGTTCTAGTTGACCATACACTATATTAAAGAAAATTTTTTTTTTCACAAGAGATGGTTTAATTTTCCCATCATTTTCCAATTCCCATAAATTAGGTTTTGATTTCAATATTTCCGAATTATCAATTGCAAACACTAATTTATGTTAACTAATGCTTTTGTACAAATTGCTATTAATTTTTATTTAAGTATTAGTTAAGTTTTATCTCAATTGTTATCCTTTAAATTTGGTGATCAGTTTATTTTTAATTAAACTGCATGAGAAAATCTGAAAATATTTGAAGTACAATAAAAAAATACTCGATTTGCAAATATTTATTAAATAACATTACAAATAAAGGAAGAAATATTGCTGTATTATCAATGAACAGATTTTGAGATTATATTAATGTATGAAATGCCAGAAAACTGTAAAATGCAAGACGTAATGCAGATCTTCATATTTTCGTCATTTTAATTGTAGAAAAACATTAGGAGTAAGTACTAATGAATAGAAAGTGGTGAAAAGCATTTTACTGCATATGTTTTTGCAATGAATATCTGTGTTATATTTCAGTAATTTTGAAAATATTTATATGCTTTTTATTCATTTTCATTGATTAGATATATTTTTATTCAATAAAGTTCAAGCTATTTCAAACTTTAGTTCTGACTTTTATTATCCCAAAGGGTCATTAGCTCAGAAGGGCTATAAGTCTCGAAATGGCATTTTACATGGAATCACTATAAATGGCTGTTTAATTAACTCAAATTTTTGACTGGATATGGCAATTTTTAAAGCTATTTAAAGTGATTTGGACTGGCCTCAAGTGCTTTGTCCAACTGCAGTGAGGATATCAAGCATATTCTTCTTGAGTGCATTCATCATATCCAGCAGAAGAAGATACTTCAAATTTGAAGAACCTGTCTGTATCTTGGCCTCCAATTTATTCTGAAATTTTCCTAACTAAGGAGACAATTTCTGCTTTTTGAAATTTCATTCTCAATTTAGATTATTGAGCTATCATTATTTTATCACTTTTTATTTCATTTTATTTTTCTTTCCTTCCTTTATTTATCATTTTAATTTATTTATTGTTTTTTTTAATAAATGTTACCCATTTGCAGTGCTACTATACATTTGTTTGTTTTGCTACTGGTATAATTTACTTGTGTAAGCCTAATGGTATACTTTGTGGAAAAAAAAGAAAGAATGCTTGCAGATTTTATATTATGGCCAAAGGGGCTCTTTTTTTTTTTTCTTTCTTTCTTCTCATTTACACATACATACACATTTCAGAAGCATTTGGGCTAAAAATATTTAAAAACAGTATATAATTATAATTTTTAATAGACAGTCTCGCACGCTGGAGATAAAAGTATTTTATTCCATACATTACATTGCCATTGCTCTCTTTGAAGCCATCGAGTTTCTTAACACCTTGAGGACAAGCGCGAGAAGAACGAAGCGCAGCTATGGGATCAAACCCTTCGAAATGGAACGTTGCCACCTGCCCTCGCATTTTCAACAATTAAGCCTTTTACCAAAACATTCACATAAAATCAACATATTAATATAATGACCTCTGTTTTGAAGTTACATACTTAATATACTAATTCTTAATATGTACTAATATAAAGAATATCATATTAATAGAAATAAATGAAACATGCAAAATACTAAAATTATATCTATATACATGAAAACAAAATTACAAATATGAAATGTAAAAGAAAATGAAACAATAATTATCTGTTGGTAATTAAATTTTAATTTAATAATTCCGCTCTGCGTGGAATAATTCAAAGGACAATGATAGCTTTTTTTCGATGAACATATGCAGATCAAGTAAGATGTATCATGCATCGGAAAAGCCAATATCTTTCCCCTTCTGTTTCTAGGTTAATTAAAAAGTTACTTTTTAATTAACCTAGAAACTCTACGCTAAGTTTTAAAATAAATATAAAAAAAGGCAACTATTTCATCACGGAAGTTTGGCGATGTTACACCCACTATAGTCAACTAGATGTGTTTTCTCACATTCTCCTAACAAACAAACAAACAAAAAAAAAAAAAAAAAAAAAAATTTGAGCTGAATGTACTTGCTCACATTCTAATAATGAAAAACGCAAAGAATAAAAAGGAAGACAACAAAAAAATTAAATTCCTAATAAAATAAACAAACATGCCGGTGTTTTAAAGAGCTGCGATTCCCAGTTTGTTTACACCAATAAATCTGTCAAACCCAGAAGCACAGAACAGAAACTAATGCTTACACATAAAGGTCAAAAGCCACATGACTTAACAAATGTGAAAACTGTTACTATTTAGCGCCAATTACTGGCATTTAAAAAAAATTTTTAAATTGTTCCATTTTCAAGTTACGTATATGTGACACTGGCTGAAGAGATTGATCAGAGCTCTTCATGTATAAGCGACGCTGGGCAAGAGTGGAATCGTTGCATCGTGCCTACGCGACGTTGGTCCTGAATGGATTAATAAAAAATTTGTTTAAAAAATATGAAATAGATAAAAAAGCCAATTCAAGATTCGGGCTTCCAGGTGCCCATATTCAGGTGGAAGACTACGTTACTCAAAATTTGATGGCTCTAGGTAACTTTTTTTCACAATGCAAGAAACATATATACATTCATGCAGATGGCAGAAAAGGGTAATAATATTTGGTGCTTAAAAAAAAAAAAAAAAAAAGAGCTGAATGTACTTGCCCACATTCTAATAATGAAAAACGCAAAGAATATACTGGATATGATATCTTCTGCTGCTGGATATGATGAATGCACTCAAGAAGAATATGCTTGATATCCTCACTGCAGCTGGACAAAGCACTTGAGGCCAGTCCAAATCACTTTAAATAGCTTTAAAAATTGCCATATCCAGTCAAAAATTTGATTTAATTAAAAATCTGTTGAAAACTGATCAACTTTTGTCCAGTGAAAAATTGTAGGGAAAAGCCCTTTGGTCCGTTGTGCTTTTGATGAGCCCAAATATTATTCTCTGTTCCAAGTAGCAATAAAATCACTTCTATAAAAGCATTTTCAATGAGAAAGATTTGTGATGTTTTCTGCCTAGCTTTGCTAGAACATCAGCTCTCTGATTTCCAAAACTTCCAGTGTCCATGAACGTAAGCAAAATGAATGTTGATATCAAGGTTTTGCAAGGTCTTAATAATAACCTGAATTTCAACAGCAAGTTTCTCTGAAACACTGATTTTCTGTAATAATTATAGCAAAGAAAGAAACTCTCTCCCTATTAAAATATGCATTGAACTCAAACCACTACAAGAATTTTGAATCCATTTCACCGCGAGGTTTAAACATAGCAACTTCGCCTGCAAAACAGAGCTCTTATAATTAATTCTGTACTGTATGAAATCTCTTTCTTGTTTTATTTATGTATTTATTTTTTAGGTTGTGCTAGCAAGTATGCCTGGAATGGAATGTGGCTTTTCCCGTGAGCTATTTATTCAGTGGTGTGGCAATGAAAGAAATAGCATTATTCTTACATCACGAGGTCTACCTGGTACATTAGCACGGACACTTATTGAATCTCCGGAAAAAAGGACAATAGAATTACAAGTAATTATACTTTTCTTTGTTTGGTTAAATTTCTGAATTTTGATTTAAGTTTCTTAAAAATTTGGCATAAATGAAATAAAACAGAATTTTGATAATGTGCGTATCTGGGATCAAGTGAGTGCACATCTGGTCATGTAAATTATAAATCATACTTTTCTGCATCATGTTTATGTTCTCACTTTTGTAATTTTTTGCATTAAAGTTGGGTTGTTTACACATGAGTAACTAATTAAACCATCACGTAAGAATTTTTAATCAGAATTTATTAAATGTAAAGCTATAATACATTAAAAATATACTTATGTATAAAGAAAATAATGGCAGTGCAAGTCAAAAATGAAAAAAGTGGTTAAATGATACAGAATTTTTTGTGGAAATAATGAATTGTTTTATATAGCATTGAAGTTTGAAGTATTTTATGAAAAACATGACAAAAACTTAACATGAGGGTTTTAACTAAATTCAATATGCATGCTAATTCTACCAACCCATTCTATTTATGTGCAGTTGAATTAACATTATTAGTAGCTTACAAAATGTGCTAAATTGAAATTTTGGATTTATTGACAGAAGCCCTTACTGCTACATATCTCCTCATTATCTTATTTTCATTTTAAATGCCAGAAAATTCTATACAAGGACAGTTTTTACAAATTTATTTATATTCGATGTTGACGTACAGTAAACTACATTGGTTAACATGAAATAATACAACAATCCCTACAAACTACTGTATATTATCATGCATTTTGTTTCTCTTAACACGAAACAAAAATCGCTTAACACAAAAAGATATCCTTTCTGAAAATGAAAAAAAATACGGAAAACACCGGCCTCGCAGACGAGATTTAAGAGGGCTGTGAAATGAAAGAGAGGTGGTTTCACATATTTCGTAGAAAGGAGGCTAACTTGGCTTTGAAATACCCTCGGAATAGCAAGTGACACAAGCCACTTTTGTTTATCTGAAATTCTTTCAGCTATTTCGTATAGAGTTCATTTTTATGATCCTCAAATAACTTCTTGACATCTTCGTTGCTACTTTTCAAGCCATTGGTTTTGCCTAGAGGTGTGATCTCATAATTAAAAAAAAGTGCTTAAGTGTCAGAACTCTAAGTCTGTAGCTAGAATGCCATAACTTCCTCCAAGCCAAATTCGTAGTCCTCTAAATAACTCACTGTCTGTCTTTTTATTGAGAGCTAAGCAATGGGAAATATTAAAATGATATCTCAGAAGATCATGAATGTTAATTTTATCTCATAGATTACCTCAAAACACCTTTGAAAATCATTTGTTTTTGATTGAAGTGTTTGTTACTCAGGGCATTTTTTTGTCATCCAATGTGATGAGATTAGATGATTTCTTCATGAACTGTATTGTTGGTGATGTGAGCTGTTTGTGATCTGAGGCTCCACCACATAAATAAAAGTTACAAAAATTCTGATTATATACACTTGAGGAAACCAGTCTGCTGGAATCATCATTTATTTATATTTCTGTATAAATAAATTATTTATATTTTGCAAGCATGTAAAAGTTGTAAATGGTAGTCTTGTATCATTCTTTCTGCTAATTCATGTTTGGCTGGAAGTACAATGGGGCACTGGAGGTTTTCATCGTCATGTCTTCTCAAAATCTTCATTTTCAATCTTATAATCCCGTCTTCATCTCTGAAAGTAAAATGTCCCTTCAATTGTTCTTCACTAGAGAATGCTTCTTGTTGAACGATCTTCAATAATTTCTTCTCAGCAATGTCCAATTCTTCAACACTCGGGGTTTTGCCATAATTTCTTCCTCCATGTCTACAATTATTTATGAATCGTAGAATCCAAGAAATCATTCTCACAATTTAAAGTAACTTGAAAAGTAAATCAGATACTATTTTTTAGCGGTGATATTAGCCAAAGTCAAAATAATGTTCTTTTGCTTTTCTTTCATAATTTCTTCTTCGTTAGTAATCACTTCACTAGTTGGCCACTCTTTATCGTTCTTCATAAGCCATTCTGGCCCATGCCACCAGCGATATTTCACAAAACTTCTAATCGAACACCCTTGTGATGGTATATCTGCTGGATTCGAATTTCCTGGAATGTGACACCATTCAGATTCCGATGACAATTTTCGTCTCTTTTACTCTATTTGCAACAAATGGCATCCAATGGTCATCTCTTTGGATCCAAGAAAGAGCAGTACTCGAATCTGTCCAATAGTTCCTTGGAACGTTGTCTAATTTGAATGTTTGTAAAGCAAAAGCTGCGAGTCTGACTCCTATACAGCAGGATAATAATTCTAGACGATTTATGGTCATTTTTCTTAATGGACTCACTCTACTTTTAGCTAGAAGAAAATACACCGATACATTTTCACTTGTTTTCTTTTCTTAAATAAATCACACATCCATAGGCTTGTTTACTTGCGTCACAGAACGTATCAAGACTAAGACTTTCATTTCCATTTATATCTAAAGCCCTTGGAATTCTAATACTGGATAAAAGTGACAAATCATCAATCCACGAAATAGAACTCTTTTCCTAAGTCTTCGGGTATATTTGTATCCCAACCAATTTTTAATAACCATGTCTTAGTTTAGGTGTTAGCGTTATAGGGCAGAGAAAACCCATGGGGTCGAAAATGCGATGTACCGCAGACAATATATTTCTTCTAGTAAGATTCACTGGTTTGTAAGTAGCAGTCTTCACCTCACAGAAAAGGCTATCATCTTCCTTATCCCACAAAATTCCCAATACAGGAGTAGGTTCTATACTGTCTTCAGATTTCAAAAGAGAAGTGTGCTCCCACCCTCTCAGATCAAATGACGCAGAATCTAAGATATCTGTTTCGATTCCTTGATGAATCGCGTGTCTTCTTCATCAGGAACAGATGTAATGCAATTATCTACGTAGAATGATTCTTTTAAATTTTTTGCTGTTTTAGGATATTTAGACAAATTTAGATCAATGTGATGGTTTAATACAGCAGCCAATAAAAAGGGACTGCAATTCAATCCAAAAACAATGCGTTTATGTCTAAAAACTCTTAAGTTCTTCCTTGTCAGTCTTTCCACCATAAAAATCATAAGAAATCTCGATCACTCTTATTTACTGACATTTGCAAAAAAGCCTTTCTTATGTCTGAAATAACTCCTATTCTATTCTTGCAAAATCTTAAAATTACAGGAATAATTTGTTCCATCAAATTTGGACTCTTTTCTAGGCAATTATTAAGTGAGCGTGAACTTTTGTCCTTACGGGAAGCATCAAAAACCGGTCGCAATTTCGTGATCGAAGTTTCTTTGAATACCCCTTTATGTGGTAAATAGTGACACTGATTATTCATTTTGTGTTCAGGGACTTCTGCTATAATTCCTTCATTTAACCAATCTGTGAAACATTTTCGTAATCCTCGAATTTGCCCTTTTGTATCAACCGGTGTGTCGTACTGTTTAAACGCTGTATTGCAATATCGAAATTTTGACTTAAACAGTCCTTTTCTGTTACCCAAGGCAACTGAACCTCATATCGTCCCTCTTTAAAGGTAACAGTTTCGTTAAAATGATCCAATGCGGCAATTTCCATTTATTTTCTACATTTTCTTTCAACAGGTTCTTGAATCCCCAATAAATCTAATTTCCACAAATTTTCAATATTCGATGTGTGAATTAATAAAGAAGTCAATGTGACGGCATTAGTCACATTTTCCTTATCTTCAATACGATCAAACAGTTTTCCCATTAAAATCCAACCCATTTTGGTTTCCATTGTAACTAATGTTGAGTTCAAGCGTTCAGTTTTGTCTTACTAATTTCCAATAATTATCAGCTCCAATGAGTAAAGATACGTTGTTGTTATCTAAAGATTCGTGATCAAAATCTGCTAAAATTATTCCCCTCTCTTTTAACAACTCCTTAATATTTTGCGGAGGATAGTCTAGCTCAGCACTCGATATCTCATCAGTCTCTAAAACCTGAATAATTAATTCCTGGTTATCGAAAATGTTTTTTATTTTTACTTCTACTCGCACACAGTTCTGTTTGGTAGGCACTTGAGATCTGAAAAAAATGAATCATTATTTCTTCCCTTCCCATGACTTTTAATCCCAGTTGTTTAGACAGACGTTTCTGAATATACGAGTGTTGACGAGCGCTGTCAAATAAACAACGAACTAATTTATTGTGTGACCTACTTTTGAGTTCTACTGTCGCCGTCTGTAAAAATATTTTATTCCTACCAATGCTAATAATATTGCACGTTGAATTTTCTACTCCTTTTGATTGCGATGCTTTGGGTTTTTTCTCATTTTTCTAACAAAGGGTTGCATTATGTTTTTTGTGGCAGTATACACAAGAGTTTTTCTCAGAGCAATCGGAAAACCGATAACCTTGAGCCAGACAAACATCGACCTTGTAATCTGAGTACATTTCGTTTTTCATTTACACTCATACTACACTTTTCACTATTATGTGTGTTATTTTTGCAGAAATACAATTTTCTTTTTTTACGGGACCTAATAATTCTGCTGCCGACGAGGGGTTAACTTTAGAGTTAAATTAATTTTTTGTGTATTTATAATTACTTTTGTGTTTGTCGAATTTATTCTTTCCGTTCAATGGAACGAATTTTGGTTCCAGTTTGTTAACTGCGTACATTTGTTCGCCGCATTCAATTTCGTTTTTCAAAAAAGCAATTAAACCTGTAACATCAGATTCCTCTTTTGGATCACGCTTTTGGTGATATTCGAGAATCAAATCATGAGGCAATAATTTCAATAATATTGGATTTAACAAGTGTCCGTACGGACCTGAAGTTACTCCTAAATTACTTAAGCTTTGAATGTTTATTTCACAAGCGTCGTGTAATCTTCTTAGTGCATTTAAGTTAGAAGAATTTTTAACTGGTTCTATGTCCAAAAAGATTATTCATATGTGATTTTATAATTTTCTCTGGTTTTCCAAAGCGTTCTTCTAAAAGTTCGAAGCACGAATCGTAATTGTGTTGTTCGGTTAACTGAAATCCTTCAACATTATATGCTTGCCCTATCAATAATGATTTCAAGTATACGAATTTTTCGATCTTGGTTAACGCTTTATTCTGATCAATCGCAGCTTGAAAACTATTAAAATATTCTGACCATTTTCCTGCATCTCCTGAGAATTTTGGAATATTTAACTTTGGCAATTTCATATTATCATGACGATACATTTATTTCAGAAACAGAAGTGTTCAAAGAATTTGCATCTGATGCATTTTTCACAGACAAATTTTCATTACATTTATTTAATCTTATTTTAACTCTAAACTTTGCAGACATAATTTGTTCATTGTATTTATCACTTGCAGAAACATCTTTTTCAAATTCTTTAGCATCATTTAACTGAGTTTCAATTTGTGAATTCAACATTTTCAACGTGTTTTCTCTTTTGAAAATTGTTTCATTCATCTCCTGCAATTCCTCAATGTTTGTGTTTCCGATATATTCAGATAACAAAGATTCTATTTTTGTAATTAATTTCGTAAGGCTACTGCATTCATTCGTACGTTTCTGCTTCAGTTTGTCTAAAGCTTCCATGTTTAAAATTGACTAATCACAATATTGAAACTCAGTTATTTTTTTCCAAATTTTCAAAGAAAAAGGAATTGCTTACCTGTTTACAGGTAATCCATCTGCTGATCTTTGAAATTCTAATCCAAATGTTCCTTGGTGAAGGCACTACTAAAATATGTTATTTCTGTAATCCATAGTTCTATTTGGTAGAGCTTTCGATTTGTATATTCAATTCAAATCACTATTTCATTTAAGTCTTAATGATTTTTATTTACACACATCTTTTATATTACAATATATACATAATTCGAGATTAATGTCAAATCAAAAGATGGGGATTATCCCCCCTTCATATCAAATTCTATCGAGAGAAACCGAGTGAGCGACTGCTCTCTTCCAAGTTCGTTTTTTCAACTCCTCGTTGCCACTGGCAGAAGAGAAATTTTCGCTCATTTCGAGTTCGAGTTGTAACAACAGGAGTATTCCATTTCGATGACATTGCCTCAATAATCAATCAACTAATGGATAGCAAAATCTGTAGTATGGTTCCAAATCCGGGAAATATTGCTACCGATAATAAAGAAAGTGACAGGTTGTAAAGAATGGAAAAATTTTGATTAACAATCTAGTGGGAAGTTTCAACATGTATTACAGGACTTTAAAACTGAACAAGAAATTATGTCTGTCTATAAAATTAAAGAGAAAGTATTAGCAGAAAAAATGAAGGAACTAAAACAATTTACATTAAAAGAAGTGTTTAATAAAAGAAAAAAAAATTTTTTTCAAATTTTTCTTCTCTCAAGGTCATAAATGATTCATTATTTCATAAACAACTACTTCAGATTTTTAATTTTATGATTTCTGCATATCAACTGACTGAATTTAAACTGATGATCTAAAATCTAGAAAATTCCCAAATCTGGAATCGAAGCCCTGAGCAGTTCAGATCTTGGACTTTATAGTTTAAAAGTATTTTTTTATTTTATTTTAAATAAGCTATATATTTAAAACACTTGAATGTGCTAGTGTGCTCCAACTCTTGCATATTTCATAGATTCTTTCAGCACAGTGAATGATTTTAGGTATTAATACTACAGCACATCCTACTCTAATCCGGTCTCTAATCGGACGTCAAAGCCACAAACTTACGCATGCATGTTTGATGCATGCGTCCACTACACATGTACGTAAGCCAGTAAAGCATTTACCCATGCGCGCTTCCGATAGTGAAGAAAGTAAGAGAATGTTATTGAAAACGAAAAAATTTTGATTGACAAGTTAGTTGGTATTCTCGACACAGCAATTGCAGGACTTGAACAGTGGAACTTTGTAACTGAATAAGAAATTATGTCTGTTTATAGAACTAAAGAGAAAGTATTAGCACAAAAAACGAAGCAACTTACATTGATAGAAATGTTTACTAAAGTAAACAAATAAATAATAAATATTAAGCTGCGGTTTTTTTTTTTTTTTTTAAGTTTTTATTTTGATACCCTTTAGATCATGATTGCTCTTTATTTCATAAGTTACGGTTTCATATTTTTAATTGTATTATTTCCGCATGCCATCTTACCAGATTTAAATTGATGATCTATAATCTGGAATCGCCGAAGTCCCAACGAGTACGGATTACGGACTTTGTACTGTATTATATGTTACAGTGCTTTGAGAACTTGATTTTATTACTCGTGTATGGTACCTGTCAGAGTGTTGAGTGAATAGCACATTCTTCAGTCCATGGAACAAATGATTATCATTCATTTCTTATTATAGGTATTGGTGTCAGAGCTCTTAAATTTTTGCAGAAAATATGAAGACAGTGTCAAACTGTTGTAACATAAGTGGATATGATATGCTGCCATATCCCTGGTATAGTTGATTTTAGCCCTCAGTATTCTCTAGGTGCTGCTACAATAGCTCAAGAGTAAATACAACTCAACCAGGAAGTAAATTATAAAACAGCTTCCAGAATGGGAAAGATTCATTGCAGAATGCTTTGCAAGTCTGTAATAATTCATTCCTTTCAATGAGACCAAATTAAAATGCTATTTTGTTCAGAGCCATACATACATGTTTCGGTATAATTTTCAGTAATGCAATGCGTGCTGAAGTTTAAAAAAAATTAGTTAAATTGGGTAGAATGAAACAAAAGTAAATATGCGTGTGTGTGTATTACTTTTTATATAATTTTTTTATTCATGCATAAACAGAACAAGTCATAACATTGAGCAAGATACTTATGTAAAAAATGGTAGCCAAACTATTTGGTATAATTTTTTATGCCTTTTTTAGGGAGAATACTTGTATTTTTATTGAGAGAAAAGAGATCTAAACTAATATGCGAGGAAATTTTTCAGATCTTATGTTATGTTCAGCTTTGTTGTTTAAAAAGAAATAAAAAATATATGTACTTTTGGAACTGTAACAAATATTAATTTTTAATTTATTTAAATATCAAAATTTTTTTCAATGTATAGATTCGTAGAAGAGTTCGTTTGGAGGGAGTAGAATTGGAAGAATATTTGAAGCGAGAAAAAGAAAAGGAATTAGAAGCAGCTAGGCATCGAGCTGAAAAAGAAGCGTAAGTTTGTATTTAGTTATATGGAGTATTGTGCTAAAATATTAAAACTATATATATATATTCTTAACTTCTTGCAATTACTGTCCTCATGGTTTCTGTTTTTTATTTTTGAGCATCTTTCCCATTTTTATGCAAAGATTGTTAGTGTTACTGTATCAGAATGAAGAAATATTCCAGGTACATAAATAAAAAGCATTTTATCTTATTTTACTCATGGAATATTACTTGAATACAAGTTGGTCACTTTTTAAAAAGCTGATGAGTTTGCAGTCTGACTGACTGAAAATGAAAAAGATATGCATATGTAAGATAAAAAATATGTAACTATGAATTATATATTAAATTAACTATAAGCCCTTAATTCCTCTTTTTAATTTGGGCACTTTCCCCCTCTAATCTAAAAATAATAATAGCTTTTTCAATACTGCATCATATAAGAAAACATTCTGCATTATGTCATCTTAACCTTCTGCACTGCATACAGTTCTTAGGACAAATTTTATTATACGTACCGCTGCAATCAAGCTATGCCCTCTCTTTCACCCTTCTTTTGTGCTATGGTTTCGATGAACTGCTCTTTTTGCCCTGTTGTTCATTACTTGAAGATGGGCTAAGTTTCAAAATTGTGAGATGCTTTATTCAATAATAAAAGTATGTCTAATTCGACCACATCTGTTTGCAAGTCTATCATTTCCATCTACTCAGCTGTATTAGCCTGTGTGTGCAGTTTGGGAATCAACAAGCCATCTACATAATCAAATCATTGTACACACATATATATTTATATATTATTTCCCTTTGCTTTTATGTAATATGCGCCTAAGGATAAAAATGATTTTAAATAGAATTTTGAGCTTAATGTGAAAATTTTTGAAGGTGTGAAAACATTTTTTCTTAATTTTTCATGTAGCAGTTTTTAAGTAGTTGAAATATTAAAGTTCTCAGAGTTGTCACAGGAGCAGAGAAGCTTTTAAGACAATACAAAAACAAAAATGTCATCTAGAAAATTCTGATGTGATGTCAGATATCAAAACCTATCAACATCAGATCAAGTTGCTTATCTCAAATTGTAAAGGATGCTTTGGACAATCGAAATATTATAGCAGTTTTTATTTGATTTTAAAAGCAGCTATGATATGGATGGAGAGAGAAACTGCACCAAAAATTACTTGGTGCAAGAGTTAGTGGAAATAAGTGTAGGTGGATAAGGTCTTTCATTGTTCAACATATTTGCAAGATCAGATTTGGTAATGACTTCTCTAAATGTTCCATCTGCTTCACGATGCAGTTGAAAGTTACACATTGTTTAATATCTACATCAATGACTTAATTTCTGCCTTAGATGCCATTAAAGATGCCAGTTGTGTGCTCTTTGCAGATGATCTTGTTTTTTGGGGGCAGGCATGGCAGCAAAATGCGAAATCCTTGATAGAACTGAAAATTAATTGGGCTCTTGGTATCACTATCATAATGATACTTTGAAAATAATATGACTTTGAATTTGAAGAAGTCTGTCTTCCGGTCTTTTTTGCTGGCCTGTCATTCATTCCTCCTAGACTTTAAGTGCAGAAATGTTGCTCTTGCACAAACTAGCAAGTTTAATTATTTCGTTGTGACTACAAATTGAACTAGAAGTCTCATATTGAATTGATCTCAATTCAACCTTGAGCTGAGTGACTTGTTTTAAAGCTACTATCTGGATCCGTTTGGGAATGTGATAGATCAATTAAATGTGCTAGATTTTTACACGCTACTTGTAAGACATTTACCTGCCTTTAATTACTTACTGCTGTTGAACCATCTATTTTGGTAGGTGATCAAGTTTTAAGAAACCAGAACTTTTACAGAATTAGGCTGTAAGGCTCATTACTGGGGCCGTCAAATCAACATTCTTTGATGCTATGCTTTTATTGATAAACGATAAACCCATTAAAATTATCTTTGAAGAAAAAGGTTCTGATTTTTTTATTAAAACTTAATTAGTTCTGAAAATAAGTACTGGATTAATTATCCAATTAACACTAGAAATTTAAAACAAAAAAAGGGTTTTGTTCAGTTTGCCCAGGATATCAGATGAAATTTTGAGTTGCCAGATAATATTCAACAAAATTTTTAAACCCATTTGAAATTGTACAGATTGAAATAAATTTTATGCCTATCTTGTGAATCATATTTCAAGAGAAACAAGTCTACAGATGTTTTTGAGCCCACCACTGGCCGAGCGGTAAAGTCGCTGAACACTGGTAGTTCAGTCCGAGGTTCGAATTCCGCGAACAGGATGGTTGCATGGGTGTCTTCGTGGTTTTCCCCATGTGTAACGTGTATATAAGCCAGTTTCCCTTAGAAAGTCCTCCACGAAGGCAACCCTTCCCTTAGGCAGATAGCCCTAGTGTGCTTTGCCATAATTAAATACACCTACAGATGTTTTGAAATGTTATGGTCTAGATACTATTGACATGGTGTATCCAAAATCTGAGTAGTTTCATATTTGATCTTATTACTGCAGGTTCAGGAATCAGCATATTTTCCCTTTATGCTTTAGCGGAGAAATTTCAAACAACTTTTGATGAAGAAGTGGAGGCTATACGAATTCCTCTGAAATATTTGTTGGTTTTTTAGGACACATTTGCTAAGAGTAATTATTTTTTCTGATTCCTGGGATGCAGTGCAGGCCATCATTTCTTCAATTTTACCCTCGTCAAAGGAAATCTGCCAGTGTCAGCACTGTTAACAGAAGATGGCTTTAGAAATGAAATGTGAGGTCTTTCAGTGCATACCTGGTCATCGTGGCATTTTTGGAAACAAGCAAAACGACTGCCTCGCAAAAGTGCTATTTAGACTACAACAAACAATATTTTCGACATGTCAAGCAAATAATGAAAAAATTATAAATTGCAAATTCAAAATAAGATAAAGTGTTGGAGAATAGAAGATCTCTCAGCAGTTCCGTACAGTCCACAATGTGAAACTT